GAGGGCCACAGGTTCCCTCCCCATGTAGAGGTAGCCACAACCTTCCAGTATTTTCTTAAAAGATCTGAAGTCAGGTGAATCTTATTGATAGGAGGAATCACCTGTTCAATATCATATTGTTTCTAAAAACTTAAAGGGGCAGATATCTAGCCATGCATGAGACATGGAGACCAGGTCTACTATTTGTGTATGTTTTCCATCTTAGGGTTCTAAGCTCCTGTTCCCTTAAGAACTTTCCAGCAGGCAGAACTTCCACAGGCACAGTATTTCCCACACTAGAGTATACAAAACGAGACATCTGTCTTCCATCTCTCTCTCTCATGCAGCTATCAAAAGGCACTGGCGTTTAGCAACTGCACTTGGATCAATGGGCAAAGATTCTAAACACTGGATTATCTAGGTTAGATTTTTATTTATAACATTTCCCCACCCCCTTGAAAAGGGAAAACAGAAGAACACCACTGCAAAAGAAGGAACCAAAGAGAGAAAAAGGAAACAGGATAATGAGAGAAAGGGAGCCCTTAACCTGCTCATGAAAGTTCATCATGTTCTAGAAATGAGTACATTATTTAGAACATGAACAATGGTCAAGAACTTCATTGGCATTCATGATAGGGCTGTGAATAGACCCCTCTGCCCCGTCCCAGGACCCCAATCTGGCTTTCCCAGTCACGTTGCCCCATGCTGTCCCAGGACCATACATCCAGCCCCAGGTCAGACCCCAGTTCAGTTTGAGAGGAGGGTAATGTTTAGGATGTTTAAACTCTATTTAAATATACAGGTGGGGAGAGACTGTAAGTAGCAAGAAACACACATTTCATAGTTCTTCGTTTTATAATACTGTCCACTGATTTAAGACCATTAGTATAGGAAAACAGTGCATAATAATAATAAATCAATAATGTACCAAGCATGTAACTGAGGTACTTTGTTTGTCCATTAGCTCAGTGATAGAGTATATATAAGGGACGCGGGTGGTGCTGTGGGTTAAACCACAGAGCCTAGGACTTGCTGACCAGAAGGTCGGCGGTTCGAATCCCCGTAACAGGGTGAGCTCCCGTTGCTCGGTCCCTGCTCCTGCCAACCTAGCAGTTCGAAAGCACCTCAAAGTGCAAGTAGATAAATAGGTACCGCTCCGGCGGAAAGGTAAACGGCGTTTCTGTGCACTGCTCTGGTTCGCCAGAAGCGGCTTAGTCATGCTGGCCACATGACCCGGAAGCTGTACGCCGGCTCCCTTGGCCAATAAAGCAAGATGAGCGCCGCAACCCCAGAGTCGGCCACGACTGGACCTAATGGTCAGGGGTCCCTTTACCTTTAGAGCATATATATTGTAGCAGCCTCATACGCAGCACTGTTTGGGAATTCTAACAAACCCAAAAATCAGTCTGGTTTGAAAGGTTCAGTCCACCATCTTGGTTTGAAATGGTGTCTGATTGTATCCAAGCGTAGACAAAAGCCTGCTCCTTGATCTACATGGAACCTCCAAGTAAAATAAAAACAGTCATGATATTTAAGAGATGTCCCAATGCATAGTGATCAAAGAAACAACTTTCAAAGATATACAGTATCTGCTTCTATGGCCACAGGTAGTATGCCTCTGAATTCCAGCTGCTGTCAATCGCAGGTGGGGATAAAGTTGTTGCACCCAGGTTCTGTTTGTGGGCTTCCCATGAACATCTGGTTGACTACTGCTGGACAAGATGGGCCATTGGCTTGATCTAGCAGAGCTCTTCTTATGCTGATACATTGCTTCTTCATGCAGAAAGACCCAGTGAAAGGACCTCATTAAGCAGCCTTGAGAAAGCTCTCTGCTTGAGGCTTGAGCGGCTGTTGTCAATCAAACAGATAGTCCCAGGTTAGACGAACCAGTGAGCTGACAGTGTAAGTTAACTTCCTAAGAGTCCTATTTGATCACTTTTGCTTGCTTGCCTTCAGATTTGCTGTGCTCTGGGAAAGCACAGTCTGCTTGGGAAGAAAAACATATCTGGCGACATCTCTGCCTGCCAGCATGCCATAGATGCCTTGATGGAATTGGCACTCTAGGCACACCAAGGATCAAAGCAGGGACCTGATCAGAAAGAGGTGCAGCCAGTCACATGCCTCATGCATTTCGCTGCATGCTCAAAGCACCCTGCAGCACAAGCAAAGCAGTCTGGAGAGGGAGGCAAATGAAATTACCTTCAGCGCACCATAAATCTGGAACAAGGCTGACGTCAGCACCAGGCATCTCTGGGCAACTGCTAGGGCCCCCAAGCCCTGGAAGGGTCTGCTATCAAGGCCTGTTCTGCCTCCCCGTTATTTATAATTTTACTTGTCATGAACTCCTAACATGCCTGTGGGGCATTGTGGAAGGTGAAAGGGATGGCGACTCAGAATTGCTCAGTGCACTTCCACCACAGCCAGGCAAGCTGTCAGAGTTCTCACTGTCTTCCATAGTCCACAGACACCAGAGGACACTGTTCTGAGAGACCCCTTTTCCTGAACCTGATTCTGATCTGGAATTCTCTCTGCACTCAATGTGCATTTCTCTTCTCGTCTCTCCGACGCAAGGCCAGAAAAACGGTGTCATCTTTCATGAGAAAGTAACTGGAGAAGGGGGTTGAGATCTACGCCAGACTTGTTGCCACACCCCACATTCCTCCTCTTTCTTCTCAAATACTTCCATTCCATTACTGACGTCTTTCAGTGCGAACTTGGACACTTAGCAAGAACAAAGGGAAGAAACAGAAATTATGTGCATACAGATACTTTCCAAATATTTGGATTCCTGCATAGCTTTTCTTACGCGGAGCTCACCACTGGTCAGACCTTCCAGGATAGCTTGTGAATTAGCTCCTATTTGATCTTCCGAATGTGGTTTTTGACTTGAGAGTTATTTCCCCTATTTTGGGATGTGGCTAGATTTCTTGTCGTTAATGAGGATCCAACGCTGAAATCTGGCACATAGTGCAAATCTCCTGAGTGTATGGGTAGGGAACAAACTTTTATACTCTCTTGCCAGCCAGCCAATCTAGTTGCAATAAGCCAGCTCCAGTCAGCCAACATTGGAAAAAGGGAATGAGGCTGCATACCAGGGTTGGCCCTATCATGAGGCAGAGTGAAGCAGCTGCCTTGGGTGGCAGATGCTCAGTGGCGTGGAAGGGACAGAGCCGTGTGTGCCATATGGCGTGGCCTGCCGTGTACGCGCTATGCTAACCTGCTTCCCTCAAGTATAGTGGAAAATTCATTACTTTCACTTGTATTGGAGTAAGAGTCAACTAGCAGTCAAATTGGCTTTTGGTTGTGTCTTGGGGGAGGGTGCCATATTGCCCTTCGCTTCAGGCATCAAAATGTCTTGAGCTGGCTCTGCTGCAGACACACTGTACATTTAAAGCTCATGGCTTCCCCCCAAAGAATCCTGGGAACATTAGTTTGCTCCTCACAGAGCTGCAGTTCCCAGCACCCTTAACAAATCACAACTTTCAATGTGCTTTAGATGTACGGTGCAGCTGCCACAAATGGCGTCAAGAACATTGGCCCTCAGAAGTGCAATGTCAAGTGATCTGTGCATTCTCATGGGCATTCAACGAATCATAGAAATGTAGAGTTGGAATAGACCTCAAGGGTCATCTAGTTCAACCCCCTGAAATGGAGGGATCTCAGCTAAAGCATCCATAACAGAGGACATCCAACCTTTGCTTAAAAATCTTCAATGAAGGAGAGTCCACAACCTCCTGGGGAAGACAGTTCCACTGTCAAACAGCTCTTACTTTCAGAATTTTCTTCTTGTTGTTTAGTCGGAATCTCCTTTCTTGCAACTTGAAGCCACTGGTTTGAGTCCTACCCTCCAGAGCAGGAGAAAACAAGCTTTCTCAATCTTCCATGTGAGATCTTTGAAGATGGCTATAGTATCTCCTCTCAGTCTTCTCTTTTCCAGGCTAAGCATACCCAGACCTTTCAACCATTCCTCATAAGGCTGGATTTCCAGACCCTCAATCATCTTGGTTGCCCTCCTTTGCACATGTTCCACCTTGTCAACATCCTTCTTAAATTGTGGTGCCCAGAATTGGGCATTGTGGTCTGACCAAGGCAGAATAGAATGGGACTATGATTTCCCTTGATCTGGACCCCATATTTCTTCACACTGTGCTTCAATACAATCATTAATTATACTCGTCATTCTTGTATCCAGTTCTCCAAGCTCCACAGAAGGACAGTATGCAGTGGCAGACTTTGGGATTTCAGCAGCGCACCTTTGCGGTGCCAAAATTCGGCGCTTCCCTCTTCTCGCCTTCCATTGTTTGTCATTGTTGCAGTGCCCCGTGACGCCCTCTCAGCTCCCCTAAATCCACCTTAGGCCTGTCATCCCATTTGACCTCTTCAACAACCACCCTTTTCTTGCGAGGAATCCTATTCGGAATAAGGGAATTTCCCTTAAAAAAAGGGAAACGTTGACAGCTATGACCCAGAGAGATAAGCTAGGCTGCAGAATGGAGAGAGAGTATGTACCCCTCATACGTTTGAAGGGCGTAGCCATCAAATAAATAAATAAAAACAACTGACACATTGTGCCGCAGATAACTTGGCTCTGCCCCCCCCAACATAAAACCTGCTCCCCTAAAATAAATCCCGGCTATGCCCATGGAAGCACCCCATAAGGAATCTCACAAACTGTAGTTTACTCCTCACAGAGCTACAATTCCCAGCTTCCTTCACAAACTACAGTTCTCAGCTGTTTTGGGGAGGGCGTTGTAGTCCAGTAAGTTACCTATCCCTGCCCCTAATCTTAAGAAGCCCAACCCCAGAATAAAAATGTAAAATGCATCACCTGTTGTATTTCTGCCTGACGCGCAGCACGCAAGCAGCAACTCCAGGGCGCCAATGGAAGAACCAGATCGGGGGGGGGGAGGAGGAGGAGGAGGAGGAGAGGCAGGAGAAAGGCGGAGGCGGAGAGGAGGAGTCCTGGGTGGGTGAACAGTAGCGCGCAGCCCAGCGTGCCGGGGAGCCAGTCTGGGCTGGGAGGCGACGGAGGCAGGAGCCGCAGTCCGGGCGACGAGGGACCGGGGACTCGTGCTGCCAGCGGGAGGCGCGGCGGGAGCGGCCCACGTGCGCGCCCGCGGAGTCAGCTGCGCGCCAGGAGACGGGAAGCGCCCGCTCGGCGACCTTATGTTTCTGCTAGGGGGTCTCTGCAGCTTCGGAAGCCCGCGACCCCCGGCCCCGGAGAGCTGATCTTGCCCCTCCGGCACTTGGCTGGGATGAACTTGCCGGCTCTTCTCTTCTCGATCGGTTGGTGGACTTTGGGGCTGGTGAGTAACTCTGGGTTTGTTTGCTTTCCTGTGGAGTCCCCCCACCCCTCACCTGGGTGCTGATATCATAAAGCGGGGTTAGTCTCTGAGCATGTGCAAAGTACCTTTCCCGCCGTTCATCGCTGAGCAGCCACAGGACGCGCGGACTCCCACGGCGCCCCTTTATTTAAAAAAGGACACAGTGAATAATTTCTCCTTTCTCTCCCTACCCTGCGTTCATAGGATCCCCTCCCTGGGTGACTGCTCTCTTTAGGCTATAGGTGGCCCTCTGTTCTCAAATCGATCCACTTGGATCTTTCACATCGCCAGTAACAAAAGAGGAGCGTGGAGCAAATTCCATAAAATTGTGGGATGAAAGTGTGAGCTCGTTCCCAGTGCTGATTTAGCATGGGAATCCCCACTGCAGGTGTGACTGGGTGGAAATGGGTCAGAAATGCTCAGCGGCACATGTGAAATATTCCTGGACTTAGGATATAACAGCATTGCTGCTTCACTCATTTAGGCAACAAAGTGTTTGGGACTCCTTCACCCTCTCTAACCTCCCTGTTTGATAGGCTGGTAACTAATTTGTTGTAACGGATCTTAAGCCCAGTCATAAAAGCAGGTGAATTTGCTTGGTGAACTCTTGAGCATTGTGGATTGTGAGGGGGCAATGAATTGTAGCAATAAATGCTTCACTGCAGATATGACAGGCAAAGCATGACTGAAAAGCAGATTCACTTTTGGATGGAGAGAGGAACCTAGTAAGATCACAGTATTTCAGCATTATGGAAAGAGGAGCCAGACACCTTCCACCCACATCCATGGCAGGACTATAAAGGATGAAGTACAGCATCACCCATAATTCCTCTGAGGTGTTCCCCGCCTCTGTAAACTTCTGGATCTTACTATAATTCATTGAGAAAGATCAGGGCAAAGCAGACACCATGAATTAGTCCTGCCACTGCTGTAAACAGAAGTATTCCTGATGGCAATGGCTCCAGTGCTATTCACGCAGTCAAACTAGCCTCCAGGCTAAGTATTATGGTCTGCACCCTCAAGATAATTTTATGCAGATTGGTTTCCCCCTGCAACAAATGTCAAGCCTTTTCTCGTCAAAATCAAAATTATTAAGGAATGGCAAATATGTGAAGTGCCCCCGTCCTCCCAATTTTTTTCAGTAGACATTTATAGCTGGAGTGGAAATTCTAGCCTGTACTATTAGTAATTTTGAACATGAAACTTGTGTGTAATCATGATAATTCTGGATCAAGTGCTCCAAAGTTCCAAAAAATAATAATAAAGGCAGTCTTTATTTTGCCATGCCATCTGGGAACCATATCTATGCCACCTTGTGTTTTGTGACAGAAGAAAAGCAAAAGAAAAGTGTAAAAACATACATAATAAATACTTGTGTTTTGACACTGCACATCAGGAAGCAGCTGGGTAGCAGCTGCAGGTGGGTATCTTAATATTAGTGCAAGGAATGTGAGACTCACCTTGCAAAGCTTCTGGGACATACAGTCCAGTTCACACATCTCGTATACCAACAGCCAGTTTTGGACTTCAAACATTGTTGCACCTAAGGCAAAAAGACATAACAATGCCTACTGGTTTTGATTTTTCGATTTTTTTAATGATGCACAGAAATGGAGGAAGAAAAAATATTCCGCTTTTGCACCTCCTGCTTTGTGGTACTTAATGGCAAAGCCACTTCATTAATGAATGATCTTTCTAATCTTAGAAATGCTTTTGCACATCCTTTTCAAATTACTAGTCAGGAGGAAAAGCCTTGGGGGCTGCTGCAGACATTATAGTTTGCATGCAGAAATCAGTCTTATTACTTGAAGTGTGTGTGTTTTCCTATTGAGCTTGTTGACCAGACATTGGCTAGTACAGACAAAAAAATACAATTTTCTCTCCATTCTGTTTGCAGTCCCTTCTTTCCCCTACATCGTCACCTCTTTCTTCCAAAGAGCTCAAGGTAGTTTATCATTGCGTTTATCCTCACAACCACCCTATGAGGGAAGCATAGAACTGTAGAGTTGGAATATGTGTGAATGCTGCTGAGAAGGACAGAAAGTGGTTTTTTTAATCAACTTGTGGTCAGTTTAGTTTTTTTTTATTGCATGCACTTACCACTTTAATAGAAACAGCCCTTTAAACTTCACCCATGGAAAACGTAAAAGGCAGGCTGCCCCAAATCATTCAGTACTCATTAGAGGTTCTGAGACGTTTTCTTTGCAGACCTGAAAGAAAAGTTATTCTACACCCTCCTAGCCATGACTGCAGTGCTTTTCTGATTAGGAATTTTACCTTCCCTGCCCCAACGTTTTGGCATGCATGCCTATGCTTGTGTTTATCAATAGGATTCACGTACAGTGGTACCTTGGGTTAAGTACTTAATTCATTCAGGTCTGTTCTTAACCTGAAACTGTTCTTAACCTGAAGCACCACTTTAGCTAATGGGGCCTCCAGCTGCCGCTGCGCTGCCGGAGCACGATTTCTGTTCTCATCCTGAAGCAAAGTTCTTAACCCGAGGTAATATTTCTGGGTTAGCGGAGTCTGTAACCTGAAGCGTATGTAACCACTGTATTCACAAATCCACACACTTTTCTTTTCACTGTTCAGTAAAATGAACAGTGTGTCAATAGAAAGCTTCAGATTGATAGGATTTATCAATAGGATTCAAAGGTAAAGGGAATTTTTAAGAGTAATAATAATAATAATAATAATAATAATTTATTTATACCCCGCCCATCTGGCTGGGCCTCCCCAGCCACTCTGGGCGGCTTCCATAGAAACCAAAAATACACTAAAATATCACACGTTAAAAACTTCCCTGAACAGGGCTGCCTTAAGATGTCTTCTGAATGTCAGGTAGTTGTTTATCGCTTTGACATCTCTTGGGAGGGCGTTCCACAGGGCGGGCGCCACTACCGGGAAGGCCCTCTGCCTGGTTCCCTGTAGCTTTGCTTCTCACAATGAGGGAACTGCCAGAAGGCCCTCGGGTGGAGACGCTCCTTCAGGTATACTGGACCGAGGCCGTTTAGGGCTTTAAAGGTCAGCACCAACACTTTGAATTGTGCTCGGAAACGTACTGGAAGCCAATGTAGGTCTTTCATGACCGGTGTTATATGGTCTCGGCGGCCGCCCCCAGTCACCAGTCTAGCTGCCGCATTCTGGATTAGTTGTAGTTTCCGAGTCACCTTCAAAGGTAGCCCCACGTAGAGTGCATTGCAGTAGTCCAAGCGGGAGATAACCAGAGCATGCACCACTCTGGCGAGACAGTCCGCAGGCAGATAGGGTCTCAGCCTACGTACCAGAGGGAGCTGGTAAACAGCTGCTCTGGACACAGATTTGACCTGTGCCTCAGGAATATATAATATGCCCAAAGGAAGCTAATGTTTAAAAATGGATGGCTTCTTGTCTTAAGCTTTATATCTTCCTGTTTGCTCTTTTGGCTTCTTCTTGCCTCCTAGACTTCTGCTTTGCTCTTAACTTTCTTTTCAAATCCTTCCGATATCTCCCTCACACTTTCTCTCCCAGGTGATCATTTGTACTCTGGAAAACACAGGCAAACCCTGGATGAGGAGCTGTTTTGTAAACAGATGCATGGGTTTGCAATCACAGGCATCATGCAGAAGGGCAGCTCAGTGGCAGCACATCAGCTTTGCGTCCAGGTTCAGCTCCCTAACATGTCTAGGTAGAACTGAGAATGACTTCTGTCTCAAACCAGGCTGCCACTCAGCATGGGCAGTACTGAGCAATATGGACCAGCGGTCTGACTCAGGAGACAGCAGCCTCCTGTGTACTTGCCAGAAATAAAGCAGTTTGCTGAGTGCTCCTGCAGAAGCAAACCCATGTATATAATGTGTGAAGTGACCCAAAGCCCTTGTCTTAAGTTAGTTGTAAAGGTAAAGGAGCCCTGACAGTTAAGTCCAGTCGCAAACGACTCTGGGGTTCCAGCTCTCATTTCGCTTTACTGACCGAGGGAGCCGACGTTTGTCCACAGACAGTTTTTCTGGGTCGTGTGGCCAGTATGACTAAGCTGCTTCTGGTGAAACCAGAGCAGCACACGGAAACGCTGTTTACCTTCCCGATGGAGCGGTACCTATTTACTTGCCTATTAGTACCTATTAGCCTATTAGTACCTATTGCCTATTAGTACCTATTTGCCTATTAGCCTATTAGTACCTATTCTACTTGCACTTTGATGTGCTTTTGAACTGCTAGGTTGGCAGGAGCTGGGACAGAGCAACGGGAGCTCACACCATCGCAGGGATTCGAACCGCCAACCTTCCGATCAGCAAGCCCTAGGCTCAGTGGTTTAGACCACAGCGCCACCCATGTCCCTAAGCTATATTATGTAGCTTGGCTTTTTAACTCCTCTATTTTCACATGTTCGCTTTCCCTTCTGTTTTATAATGAACATGTGGAGTTGCTTTCTAGTGAGGTCATTGGTCCGTTTAGCCTAACATTCCTTATTCTGACTGGATCTTGGAATGCCATATGGGTGAATCATCCCTGTGAGTCCTCATCTCTCCATTGGTCCTCTGCAAAGGTTTATGCCACACATCACGTGTGTGTGTGTGTGTGTGTGTGTGTGTGTGTGTGTGTGTGATGCCCAGCAAAAAAAATGCAGGCAACTCTGGCACAGCAGTTTTTCCACATTCCTGATTCCTGACTGTTTTATTGCAAGATACTATAGGATCAAGTCTTCCAGGAAGTAGTTAAGTGTGATTTATCCAACTGCTGTTTTGCCAGGCTAATCTTCTCTATATTGTTCCAATTTTAGTGTATGTGCTGCCGAACTGAGCACTATCGAACTGCTGTTTAATTCGCACATCAGGTGGAATTGCATAAAAGGACCTTGCAGCAGCAGGGAACCACCTGTTATTAACCAAGCTTGGTAAATGATGCCAGTTAAAAATGTTGGATTGTTTCCAAATTGCTTATTTTCCCTATCCCTGAAAGGTTTTTTCTTTTTTACAATAGTGAACTATTAATGGCCGCAGTTC